TTTTCCCAGTGCACGCTAGGACTGCAGAGCCGATTGTGCCAAGTCACCTCATCCTCCTTGTTCTTCGTCTCGTGTATACATACCCTATCTTCTCACCTGGCCGGTCGATTATGTCAGGGCTGTTTACCGGCTCGTTTATTTATCTGATCTCGCTCCATAAGGACAGCAGCCGGCACCGAGAGACAGCGAGCAAACAACGCCCGGAGTGCACATGTATATATATATACATTACATATCTCTCCCTCGCGCGTCTATATACCCTATATTGCACGTGTATACAGATAGAAGAAGCCCCTGGGGCGAGGATTCCTCAGCACGGAAGCGGCGCGGTCTTTTTTTTCCCTCTCCTCCTCTCACTTTCCCTCCGTTCACGCCGCGGCTGACCTTCTCCTACACATAATTCTCGTTTCATCCCCGCTTCACAGCCACACTAGTGCACACAGTTGATTATTCGGGAGGGAAAGATCATTTTGGAGGGTGCATCAGCAGGAAAGTCAACCCCCTGCCGATCGCTCGCGATACACGGGGGGGGGGTGAGGAGGGAGACAGGGGCGAATCGATGGACCTTGTCTCTGTACGCGCACCGTAGCTGAGGGAGGCGAAATTGGATGGCGCGTCGAGTGCACGCACTTGATCGAGAGTAGTTTGGATGCATGTGAATTCAACCGAGAATTACTATAAGCACGGCAGAGGGAAGGTGGGGGAAATTCTGTCGTCGAGTATATGTAAATATGCAACGAGATGGTACTTGCGAAGTAACAATTGTCAAGATACACCCCCCCCCCGTGCTATTTTTGTGATTAACAACGCGATTCAACGAGTGTACACGTATCTCTGTATCGGACGTATACACAAAGTCACCCCCGGATGGTCGTTGGAGTTTTTCTGCACTTCTTAACCGTTTTATCCAGTGCAAGTGTAAGCAAGCCAGCCAACCTGTGGGCCAGCTCTCGTATCTTTCTTTCTTCCTCTCTTCGTTTCTGTACTTACACTAGTTCTTTGCGACGCTCGGTGCTTTGTTCGCCACTTGCGCGCTCGTAATTCCCTCTTTCGTCCTCCTACGCACACGCGTACAGAGACACAAAGAGAATAAATGAGCCTCTGCGGGCGCTGACGCTGTGAATCACACGTATACCAATTAGAACACGCGCACACAGTGTCTCTCTGCTGATGTAGAGCTCCAACTAGTATGTGTATATATATACTGCATGCAGGAGGCGCGAGGCCACATCATGATTCGTTCGAGCGTGAGGTGTATGCTTGATTTGTACGGGTATGTCTATTATCGGCGTGCGTCTCGTGACCTTTTCCTCTCTTGTCCGTTCAAGGTGGTGAGATTGAAAAAACACAAAGTTGGCTGGATGGAAAACGCGACGTGGGAAAATTGTCGGTATTGAAGGATCACGCGGGAGTTGGTGGACGAGGATTTTGATACAGGCTCGCGGGTAGGAAGTGAATCATGGATTCTTGGATACAAGCCATGACGAATGTTTCTTTCTTTGCCCTGTCGTACTTATTACTTTTCGTATTCATCACTGATGTAATGATTGTTTTTTTTTTTTTTTTTTTTTTTTTTTTTTTTTTTTTTTTTTTTTTTTNTTTGTTTTTTTTTTTTTTAAGAGTGAGTCGTTGCCTGCGGTTTATTCCTTGAAAACTAGAGTTTTTTTTGTTTGCTTTGTTTCAAGATAGTATGGATAAAAACCTCGAATCATTGCACTTCGACAAAAGTTACAATTACTGAATCATTCGAGGTATACAATATCTGACAAACATGACTATATGAACTGCAAAGTAAAAAAGACGTTAAACACCAAGACAAGCATAATATAAATATCACTTGGATCCCTCGGCCGCAATATCACCCCTTACCTCTTTCGCTCGGGAATAATGTAATGTAGGCACGTACAGTAAAATCTAGGAATATCTGTAAGAAAATTTCATATTGCAGGAAATCATAAATCTTCGCAGGAAGAAGAGTAGGAGTGGAGAGGGTAATATAATAGCAAAGAGAGAGAGAGGAGCCGAAGAGAAAAAATCGCACAAGAGGACCGAACCCAATATATAACAGGGTATACCTATGTGTGTACACGAGAGAAAAAAGCGTATGAGGGGAGGGCGAAAAAAAGGAGTCGACGTTACAGGTAGCAGCGCGCGTTATCTTGTACGAGAGAGACGGAGAAAAGGTGCCGCATGTGTGTAGCGGGAGGGAAACAGAGAACGAGAGAAGAGGACTGCACTTTATACGAGAATGGAAGGGTGAGTTATTTTTCGCTTGCGAAAAGGAGCCTACAGTAGCAATGTATGTTCGCGCGGGGGAAAAGAGAAGAGAGCATAGAAAGGAATGAATAATAAAATTTGGAAATTCGAGACGCGGACTAAAAAAGATGTCGCGGAAAAGGAGGCAGGGCGCGTGAAAAGTTCTCCTCCCGAGTGTTCGATGAAATGGAATATCTAATAAGGAACGGATATATATGATGCAGCTGCAGGTGTATACGGTGATATATCGGCGAGTGTGCGCGTGTATGGATGATGTGTATGAGATCATGCGTCTAGCGTGGTTGGAGTTCAAAGTGAAGTTTTTTTTTTTTTTTTTTCTAGCAAGTATCAAAAAATGTTAAAGAATGGAAAAAAATGTCTAGAGTCGCCGTTTTGACGTTATACCTTTACATCAGTTTTTTAAATCACCATGAATCTACAGATACAAGACCCACTTTCTATCAATTTATTTGCTCTGTGCGAAAAAAAGGTGAAAAGTCAAAAACCATCCGCTCCATCCTCATGTATACCTACGTACAGTGTGTACATCTGCAGGGAAAACTCCCTCTTCTCCGAGTAACACGGGAGAGATGCAGCAGTCATCCCGCTATCTCCAAGAAAATCTTTCTACGTCCCTTGGTCGCGGCTGTAGATATATACATACAAGAGAGAGAGCGATTCTTTTTCCTCCCCATTTTTACTTCTATCCGTCTCGCGTTTTCTCCTCTTTCTTTTTTCATCCTCTCGTGCCCCCCCCCCTTCGTCAACCTCCTTCTCCCATCCTTTCATCGGCTTTACAGCACAAAGGAGCGACTCGTGCGCGACTCTTTTTCACCGTCCCTCTTCGCTCCTTCGCTTCGATAGGATATACACTTGTATGCGCGCCACGGCAGCCGAGTGCTTTAATCCAAAGGCATAAGTAAATTGTATTGGAATAATTATTCCCCGATACAGGCACCTACTCTTTGAACTGTCTCTCCTACTCCACCTTGCCGTGACACCACGTATATATATATATGTATGGATACGCTCTGTGATCTCGCCCTTTGGCGACAGCGACGACAATTCTCGGTTGGGAGGAAAAGCCGTTCCCCATCTCTATAACCAAAGCTCCCATTGACAAGACGACGTATCGACTTTGAATTCGTTATTTCGTACGACCAAAGCCCTATTTACATTTCAATCATTTCAATTGGTAGGTATACATGTTATTACATTGACGACAGTATGCCCATACGCTTTTTATAACGCTCTCTAATAGAATTTTCGATTTATTAACCGGTTTATTGAATCGGTTACATTTACATTACAAAAAGTATAAATTTTACCATAGGAACAGCCCTGACCGCAGAATCTGGAAGAAACAGCCAAGTACGGTAAGGCAGTTGCACCGGCGTCATCGCATCAATCTCCCTCTCCTCCGAAACTGGGAATGTATATGAGCTCGTTTCCAAAGACAACGAGTGCAAAAGGCTTCCTCATTCCACGGCTGTACTCCGTACAATTCGAGAGAGAGAGTCGTGGTAATCAGCGCCGCCTTATCTATCCTCCTGTTAGCTCGAAAAAACCCAAAAGGGACAAAAAAGGAGAGCGAGCCTGAGATGGATGGCTTTTAAAAGGGCCAGAGGAGAAGAGACGGGCTTTTGCTTTTATTCGCTGGTACGGCAAACGAGGCAGAGCCCTCGGTGAAACTTTCCCTTTCACCGGACAACGCGCGTGTACTTACCGACTCGAAGTGACGTTTCGCGTCAAAAGCTCAACCGATATACCGGGAGGGAAAACATGAACGAGAACATCGTGTATACATCGGTGGAAGATGACACCCAGCGTTTTCAAGTACAAGGCACCCGCGCTGCACGGGGTTAATAACGAGCGCGCTTATCGAGATGGCTTGTCGAAATCGCGTGCACACCTCGCCCGGAAAAGAATGCGAGGGGATGAGGAGAAAGAGTCCCCCTAAACTCGGCAGTAGAACGGGTAAATAAACGTCGAGGGGAAGCGAGGAGAAGAAGAGAAAACGAGTCGCGCAGATCAAAAAGATCGAGCCAGTTTATTTGCGTTCGGTCTCTAAGCGGCCGGTCCTTCGCAAGAGCCGATGTGCGTGCGCGAGCGTGTGGGGGTGAATGTATACACCTTCAGCGCTCTAGTGGAGGAACGTGCATCTTCTCTCTCTCTCTTTTTTTGCGGCTATCGCGTTCGCGCGATCCGAAAAGGCTGGAGTAGCGCGAGAAAAAGAAAGAAAGGACCGAAGGAGGACGACACTGTCGTACGTCTTATCAACGCGCGTCTCGCTTAACGAGCCGTCGTCCGGACGCGCGTGCACGTGACGCGGACGGGGGGTGGGAAGAGGCGATGCGGAGTGACGAGGGCACATGGGGAGAGTAAGATAATACAATTAAAGATTCGGGTTTTTCGGGTGTATAAGCGGAGAGCGGCGAGGGAGAGAGCGTGTCTCCTTAAATCGGCTGGAAGCTGACTGGGGGAGGGATCTCGTGTAGGCTTTGACTATATAATTTATTTCGGAGGATGTGGATTTCACGTGTTCGCGACTTGTCGGGGACTTTTTTCGGGGATTAGGGACGCGAGATCTCGTCGTTTGCACGCGAGTGGAATTCGATTTTGACACTGCATGGAAGCACTTTTTTTCCTTTTTTTTTTTTTTTCTTTGAATTGCGTGCGTGGGATGAAATTTATTTTAACAAATGATACGTTAACCGGTGCTTTTTATTTTTTCATGAATTCATTTATAGGGGCTGTGTGCAAGTACACGTGTAATTGAACATCCCATCTCCGGCTATGCAGGTGTTGTCGCTGAAAATGCACTTCAAATCGCAGTACATTAGTTGGAAGTTGTTGCACGGTTTGGCGTCGACCGCTGAAACATCGTAAACAATGCTGCTTTATTTAGAACTTTGCAAGTTATTTCTTATTTTTTTTTTTTTTTTTTTCTTAAATTACAATTTTAACATTGCATTTCTTGAAACTTACCGTAAAGCATCGCCACTACTGCGAGGAAGAAATAAACGAGAAACAGTTTCATGGTAGCTGTCAAACAGTTACCGTCGCGTCTCAACGTGGTACCTCCAAATCTGCTGAGGAAAGTAAAATAGTTGTTGAAAAATGTGTTACTGGTATTTCGTAAAATTGAGTTTATCCGTGCGACACTTGGAAAGTCGGTGGTATCTACCTCGAAATCGCGTCATTACGCCGAAAATCGTTGCGACCGAAAAAACACATTAGCAACGTCAACAGAACAGACAGCGGAGGAGAGTAGCAAAGAGGAGGACGAGGGGGACGGAGATAAGGAGAAAGCCAAACTTCTCGGCGTGTTTTGCCCCGCACGTCGGGCGATTAGATCGTCAGGAAGCGTCTCTCGCGTGCACGGGATGAATTTATTTCACGCGTGGCAAAAAAAAAAAAAAAGAAAAAAGAAAAAAAGAAAAGAAAGGGAGAAAAAACAGCGGAGCTCACATCGCGAATACGAAATTTCGGGGGAAGAAGAGGCTCTTCCGTCCCGTGGGTATAATTGGCTGCTTATCCCGATCGTCTCCCGTGTGACTCTTTCTCCGATTTCCAAATAAATCACCTACACCTCCATCCATCTTTCTTCACCCATACCACAAAGGATAGAAAAATACGAGCGAATCGGAAGATTAGCGAGTTTTCACCAATGGCCGAGTCCTATATATATATATATATATGTTGTTAAACCCCGGGGCATTATGCAAGCAACAGCGAATAATTAAAAAAAGAAAATACCAGCAGCAACGACGACTGCACGACTTCCGGAAAGCCCTGGCGCTCGCGGTCGGCTTTTAAATATTTATGAAAAACAGAAATGAGAGAATGGGGGTGGGGGGGGGGTGGATTATAAATTGAATATTTAAGAAGAATGCGAGGTATTTGTATATTTATGGGGGCCTGTAAACAGAGATCTCGGTGCTGCAGCTGCGCTGCTGGATTAATTACGAGGCATGCCTGGGCAACAGTAGGGGGAGGGGGTTTCAAGGTGAAAAACTTGAGCGACAGGGAAGGAAAGCACGCGACGATGAAATTAATTCGTTTCGCGACTTTGCGCTCGCAGTTTGGGTGCCGTGTCTGCATTGCCTGCACCTCGACTCCGGATGCCGAGTTTGAGCTTTTATTTTTTTTTCATCCGATGCTGCAGCATCGCTGTCATCCACGGTTAAACTGAAATTATAATTCACATCAGTTTCCTTTATACTTTTTTTTTTTCATTCTTGTTTTCTTTATAAATACACAAAAATATCTTTACATTGTATTTACATGTGGTCTAGTATGACGATACAATGTCCATACAGATGCATCTATTTTAGAAATTCGTAAGACACGTCGAGTGATACATACATCAAACTGTACAGCAGCCCAAATGTAATACCCGCATGAATCTGTACTTCTGGTACACCGCAAACCGAATAACATCTTGTTCCGATCTCATTCCGGTATTTATCCACACTGCCGCGAGGGCAAACAAATAGTCGCAAATATTTGCAATCCAGCAACTTCTGCGCTGCGCTACCATAGCACACACACACACACATACACATACGTTAAAGGAGGAGGTGAAAGATCCGTTTGCTTACAGGCACGTGAGCACACGTGTGGGTCGAAAAGGGTATGCCAAAAGAAAGAAGGAAAAGAAAGAAAGAAGGACTGCTGTCGAAGGGGTTCGAGGACGGATGGGAGGAGGAAACAGAATAAGGGAGCCGCGATTCCTCGCCGCGCGCACGTATACTGAATGCCAAGTGCCAATCGAGGAAAAAGTGAATTTGCGTATTCGCTTCGTCAGGTTTCCTTTTTCTTCCAGTCTAAGGCTGGAGACACGGAGTAACGTATAGGTATACATTTTTTTTTTTTTTTTTTTTTTCCGAAGAAGCACCACGTAGCACGCGTCTGGGAAATCAAACAGGGCACGCTGATTGAAATCGAGAGGATATGTTTAATTGAAGTGGCTGCATGGACCGGTTTATACCGTACGTACTAAAGCTGCGGTGATTAAATTGAGAGAAAGAAAAAAAGAGTTGGCAATTGTACTTAAATATGATTGAAATTACATACCTTTTTACACACACGGTAACACCTATATTACGTCTGTCTCGCCAAATTCCCTCCCCAACCTCTCATCAAGATGAAGCGCAGTTATCTCCTGCTTCGGCAAACCCACCCGTCCACTTGTTTCGGGCTCGGCAATTTTCAATGAAAAAGACAAGGAGTCGCAGCAACGCAAGCAAAGCCGAGCGGGGAGAAGTGATACCTGCCTGCCTGGACACTATACGATGTACTGCGCCGAAAGCGTCGCACTCGAGGCCTACTCCCGTCATCATTATACTCATCTGTCCCGCGCTATGGCCTCTTTCTCCGCTTATTTTCTCCGTTTGTCCCAATCAAGGGCCATCTTTCCTTTGTCACCTCGTTCCTCTCTACCTTTCAGCGCTCAATCATCTAATATGCTCAGTGACAACTCTTTCAGCTCGACCACTTCTATCGACTCTTTTCACCAACGATAACATCTTATCACCAGCTAAATTTGCACCTATGCTAGTTTTACTACTATTACTGAGTCAAATTTTGTCGGGTATCCACCACGCAAAGTGCGCCTATTTAGCTTCATAGTAAAATTAATATGCACCCTCGTGGTACATACACTACAAATGCGATTTTTGTTTTTCCCCCATCCCACGCGCATTCACGTATACCTTCTCTTCAACTGCGCTCAAGCTCAGCGTCTTTTTTTTTTTTTTTTTTTTTTGCATTAACGCGGCGAATACAAAATACAAGAGGCAAAGGCGCGAGACGACGACGTGGGAATGACAATCCACGCTGGCTCGAGGTACGAGGCACGGGCAATGTAGCAGGTAGCATTGCTTCGCCTCTTCTCGCAGCATCAGATCGAGGGTGAGTCGTTTGCGTTTCACCTTAAATATAAAAAAACAGTCGGGGAAAACAACACTGTAAAAAAGCTCGAGAAAGCCCAAACCGATATCTTCAAGGTAGTTCGCGGTACGGAAAAAAAAAAAAAAAAGGAAAATAGACGCAAGACCGCGCATATGTAGCAGCACGAGCATATAAGCACAACACTATGCGTGTACCCGTAGCACGCAAAATAAGAGATAGAGGCCGTATATATACGAGGGAGGGTAAGGAAAACGTTGGCGCATGCATTATTCAGCCAGAAGAGCCTCGAGAAAGGGTACAGCAGGAGCAAATACCCACACACACGGGCGCGAGCTTTATTGGCTCGTCGAGACGGCTATACGGGTGAAATAAGCTTTTCACGTGCGCTCTATATCCATGGGTTACGGTGCAGTGTGGGTTTGTGCACTATCTATTTTAGACACTGATGCACCTTTGATTCGGAGCACTGCTGTTGCTATTGGTGTTAGCTTAATTTCAGGGATGACGAGTGGGCCGCTTATGCCATAATATGGGGATGAAACAAAGATCGGAAGTGGCACCGCAGTTGCAGAGTTTGACACTTTCTCGGTTAATCAACGCTAAACGTGACAACACAACGCTTCGCTTGGAATCCAAGGATACTCCAATGTACTTGCAAGTCAACCACAAAGTCGTCTACCCGACTGAACAAACAGCCCGAGGACCATCGAGTATACGCACGGAAAAAAATACGCGCGTCCCTCTCTCGTAAACTAGCAGTGTAGAAACCCTAGTCACCACCTATAAGTACGAGCCAAAACCCATAGCGTATACAAACACAAGGCGAGGGCGGTAGAGGAGGAGGGGTGTCGCAGACAATTCACTCCGCAACGAGGGAAAGTCAAAGGAGAAAAGCTCTCGGCCGACCACTGCTTGTATACCCATCAGGGAGTTGGAAAAAAGGGGTTGCTGGGTCCTCTCTCTCCCGTTGTACTCTGACTTTTTGTTTCCCACACGTGCGTGGACGTTTATATATATACATATATATACGCACCACCGTTGCATTTTTTACGACCGCTGTCTGCCCCTCTCCTCGTTCCGTTGTGTATGCAGATGACTCGTGGCCATTCATTTTTCAAGGGCACGGAAGAGAGGACGGTTCGTTTGTACACCCGCGGGTTATTAACATTTATGGGCTTATCGCTACGTACTTGTGTTTTTTTTTGTTCCTCGTTTGCTTTGTTTGTATACCTGTGGTATAGCTTCCAGGCATTTTCGCTCGGGAGGCAATGGCTGTCAGCTACAGGGGGTCAGACGGACTTACCTGATACATTTGACAGCTGAGGTGGCAGAGGGTGACGATTACAAAATGGTTGTGCTTTGGGTACTCACCTGTAACAGATTAGAAGAAAAACACGAAATCAATACTCGCGTGAAAAACCAAAGCAAGCCAATAATTTAGTGAGCATATAAGGTACACGCAGTATAAACACAAACAGAGGCAATATCCATCATCGCAAACAAGTTGTAAGAAAGTGGGAAACACGGGGTATACTTTGACAATCAAACAAATCCGGCGGGCAATTTTAATTAGCGAGAGAGCCCCGCGGAGCTATTAGAGCGTCTACTCGCCGAGGTCTGGAAAAATAAGACAGCGCCAAAGGAGGGCTTTTTGCGTATCTCCGGAATACAACGTCTGGCCGAGGATAGGTTTACTGGCGCAGCACGGAAATATAAAAGGCCATAGGGCTGTGGCGCCTATTTTAGGGCCCGTTTTTCATCGGCGCACGTGCTTCCGTCTCTTTCATTCGGCCGAGTTCTCGTCATCTCTCACGCCCTGCATGCTCTTCGTGTTTCGTCTAGGGATACATGTATACGTGCGTGAATCCAAAAGAGCACGCCATAAGGCATTTCGGATATTAGCAGATGTCTCGTGGCACAGCACGTGCAGTCCCCCGCAATACTTGCTTGTGATACATA